TTGAAAAGCATGCAAATGTTGTTTCTTAAAATATTCTTAAAAAGCTCTCAAACCAGTGTAAAGCACATTTTTAGTGTCATACTTTTCCATTTTTAAGCATTATACAATGACCGACAGTGTCGAACTCTTTTGATAGTTCATTAAAATTTCCTAAAACATTATTGTGAACAATATTGTTATTTGTTATGTATTTATATACTTTATAGTAAACTACTCGTTTAAGAAAAACGGCAGACAGGTTAAATTTGGATTTGTCTGTAGTTAATTAGTAAAAATGACACTGCGGTTATATTGGTACTTTTGTAAATTTTAATTTATCTGGGACAGTTCCTGTTATAGTTGAAGATTTTGAATATGAGTTTGTTTATAACCGGAAAGACACTTGTTACTACATTGCTACAAATCTAATCAATTCCAACTGCTTTGTTACAGGGGCGGATCCAGCACTTCGAAATATTTAACTTCCAGACACAGAGCTTACACCAAACATTTACATGTTTATACTTATGTCAAGTAAAAATGCTTTGCAAAAAAATGTGGTTATTGGAGCCTGGGAACAAAAAAGCCCCGAAATTTTGGGCCACCCCTGCCCCAAACGTGAGAGCAACAAGTTGATGAAATATTTTGTGTACTGTTTTCAACTTGACTTTTATTTATCGAGAAATTTTAAAATTTATAGTATAACTTTTCAGCGTTCAAAAATTATGACCATATAAAATTTGCAATCCCCTCAAATTTAGGGGGGTTTAAACTTTATATGTTCATAATTTTTGAACGCTGAAATATTTTACTATGAAATTTAAAATTTATCAATGAATATAAGTCCAGTTAAAAATAGTACAAAAAATATTTCATCAACTTGTTGCTCTCACATTTGGAGCAGGGGGGCAAAAAATTTAGAGCTTTTTGTTCCCAGGCTCCAATCATTGCAATTTTTTTGCAAACAATCCTTATTTGACATAAGTATAAATATATAAATGTTTGAAGTTTGCTCTTTGTCTGGAAGTTAGCAATTTCAAAGACCAAGAAATGCTGGATCCGTCCCTGCTTTGTTAATTTTTAGAGAGCTACATTTAAGAAAAACTTTTGTATAGTACATTGTACTACACTGTGACTTTATCATAACCAAGTTATGACGACCTCGCAATTTCGAACTCATCATTACTTAGTTTATTGAATTTTAGTTTACTATGTAGATCTATAGGATAGGATATTCAAAAGAGGTATTTGGGCATTGAATTTTCGAACACCAAGTTACAGCTTCATAATGTACAGCTTCCATATCACCATTAACAAGGTTATTATCAGAACCTTGTGCATCAACTATGTTTTTTGTAAAGAGCACATCAATTACACTTAGATGAAAAGAAAAGTTGTCATTTGTGACTTAAACTTTAAAAATGTATTGCACAACAAAAATTAAGAGTAACGAAAACTGTCTGAAAAAAGATTTTAATTTAATTGTTAAAAAATAATAATTTTAATAATAAAGAACCTAATTTAATATATTTACATGTTCGAACTTAGAGAAAAAAAGTTCGAACTTAAACCTCTAAAAAAATAACAAAAGTTCGAACGTTAGAACTTAAACATGTTTGAACTGGAAGCCTTAGTAACTATTTATCAAAAAAACTAATAATTTTTTTAAATTCAATAATATAGCGTCCTATTTAGATAAAGATTTTCTAGAACATGATCTAAAAATATTTGTAACAATTTTATTCAATAATTAAATTTTTAAAAATTTAATATATAATTTTTATTTTATTATTAAAATTAATGAATTAAATTTTATACATTGATATAAATTAAATTTTATGCAATAATTATTTAGAAAAAATTATCATAGCTATTATAATTAAATATATAACTATTATATATTTAATTATAACAGCTATTATAATAATAATAAAAGTATATACAATTTTACTCTAAATAAGCTTTTTAATATTTCGGTATTTAATATTAGAGCATTTCGTCACTTATTTACATGATTACATTACATAAATGCGCTTTGATCGTATAATTAATATCATTTCCCATATCCTCGTGTTTTGGTAATTACTTTCTCAAAGTTATTTGGACTTATAATCAGTTAAAATTAATTAAAATGATCAATTATCAACTCGAAACTACAAAAGAAAATCCGTCACTCATTATAGCGAAGAGCAAACGGTAAAAGGCACTTCAAAAGTTATAGGTGGCGAAATGAGTTACAAACGAGCGGTACGATATACTTTGAAAAACACTTGAAAGAATTTAATTTCCAGAAAGGATAGTCGGGGCTAGTATGTTAACAACTTTTAGCTGTGTGACTTTCGTGTATTATAATTTGTAAACTAAAAAGTTTTATTTTTTATATTTGCATGATGATTTTAAAACTCTAAGTTTAGCTATCCTTAAGTGTTTTAAAAGTTTCCACGAGTTACCGTAAAAACCTACACTACCTGCATAAGACCGATTTAAAAATATTGCGGCTTGGTCTTCAAACGGCACTGAAATAAACAAAGCAGTGGAAAGGGTGCAAAGACGTTTTACCAAGAGAATAGCTAACCCAAGTAACATATTTTTTAAGACTTAGAATTCTTAATTTGGAACTACTAGAAATTCGTTGCCTTAAGCAAGGCATAATTACATGTTACAAAATTCTAAACAATATAGTTTGCCTAAATAAATCAAGTTTCTATCTAATAAACAACTTTATTTACACTCGAGGTCACAAATTCAAATTACGCAAATTAAAGTTTAAACTCAATGTTTGTAAATACTCTTTCTCACTCAGGGTTTGTTAATATTTGGAACAACTTTCCAGTAAACACCGGACCAAAAAAAGACGTCTTTTGAACGTTCAAAAGACGTCCAAAACGTTCAAAAGACGTTTAAAAGACATCCAAAACGTGTATAAGACGTATAAAAGACGTCTTTTTTACGTCCGTGTTTGCTGGGTTGCCGCCATTGTTAATATTTGGAACAACTTGACATCACAAATGCTATCAAGAGCTTCAAAATTAAAATTAACTCTATTAACTTTCAAAAATACTTTTCAGGCTAAATAGTTTTTATTTATAGTCGTGGCCTTATATATAATAGTAATATATATACTTTTTAGTAAATTATCTAGAACATGTTTATGTGATTATATGGCACATTGTTAGAGCCCTTCATATTTTATGTACCTGCATGTCCTTTAGAACATGTATCACTGTTCTAATAAATTTTAATCTAATCTAATCTTAGTTATTATACACTATATTGTTTTATCTATAGTTATGATAGGGGCGGATCTAGCATTTTTTGGTGTTTGAGCTAACTTCTAAACATGGAGCAAACTCCAAACATTGAAATTTTTATACTTACGTGAAATAAGGGTGATTTGCAAAAAACCGCGATGATTGAAACCAGGGAACAAAAGAGCCCTAAAATTTTCACCTTGCCCTGCCCCAAAGGTGAGAGCAAAAATTGATAAAATAATTCTTTTTACTATTCTCAACTAAACTTATATTAATTGATAAGTTTTAAATTTCATTGAATAATCTCATTTTTAAAAAAAGATTCTGTGTAATAAACATTGCAACAATATTCATACATCTTTTTAGTAAATTCTAATATGTAGCAATATTTTAAACTACACGTTTAACTGAAAATTGAATTTTTAGCATAGTTGTATAACTTTATTTTAGTTAAAATTAAGTAAAAAAGTGCTAAAGATTGACTACATTAAAAAAGTTTCTTGCACATTCTGTTATCACATAATGTATAAGAAATTTTTATACATTATTTGATAAAATATCTATAACTAGTTTGATGTCGATTTTTTAAAAATACGTATTCATAATCAGGATTAATTTGAAATTGTTTATGAATACATCACGGTTTAAAACTATAATAGATAAAAATAAAAATCTTTTAATTGCTGTCTTTATTTTTATTTGTTGTCAAATGTTAATACAACAGCATAACAAGTAAAAACTTAGACCGTTGTCAACGAAATATAAAGTGAAGAAGTAGAAGTAGAAGTGATTCGTGTTTCGAAATGAATAACATAATAACTTTCGAATGAATAACTTCCGAATTTTCATTGTTGATAGTAACATTATTAATAACAATATAATACTTAATAATAACAAAATAATATTATTACTAGCAAAAACCTTTATAACTACTGTTGCAAAATACATAAATATATAAAATAACCCAGTAAACACAAAACGTGTTTTAGTCGTATTGTGTATTACTGGGTTATCTTATATATTTATGTTCTAATTATTTTGCTACAGCAGTTATAAAGGATTTTTTGTTTTTACATGGTTATTTTTTCGTATTGTGTTTACTGGGTTATTTTATAATTTTTACTTCAACTTTAAGCCATGGATTTTAATCTAGTTGAAAACTTGAAAATTATTCTCTTTAATAATTTTTACCCCAAAAATGCATAGAAAAGTTTAGTTTTTTTTATTTGCATCACTAACTGAACATTCTTAATTTACATTTATGAACATAAAAGTTTGACAATCTCAACTTCACTGGAAGTTACCTTTCCCGAAATTTAAAAAAACACAAAGAATTTTTTAAAGAAACCATGCTTATTATCCAAAAAAATTTTAGCGTCTGAAATTTAAAATCTTAGTTACAAAGCAACTTTTTAGATTTTATTACATAAGTTAAACTGTATAAAAATATTATTTAAAACAAACCTTATAAAATTTATAAACCTTATAAAATCGCTTATAATAAAATTTTAAACATTGCGTTAATTTCACAAAAAAGTTTAAGTTATTGCAACCTGTTTAACTCTAGCGCAATTAATACGACACTAGACAAAAAAAATGACCTGGGCTCAATAGATGTTACCTGGTTTCTATTAATTTAGGTTATTAACTTTGTTATGAAATGAATAACGTTTAGCAAATAATATTTGTTGAACGTAATTTTTCTATAATATAAAGTTTATTTCTTTTTAAACCTTATGATTTTTATTTGCAGAATATGTATTTTTATTTTACAATTTTTTATTTTTATAGTTAAAAGCTTACTCAAAAGACAACATTTGATAAAAATGCTGCCATATTAAGAATCGTGGTTTACTGAATGTTGGATGATCGAGATGGCGATATAATAACATGGCCTCGAGCTCGACAGAAGTTCCTTACAACCATCCGACTGAGAACGCTTTGTTTGGGCAAAATGTCATCGAGAAAATTACAGATACTTGTCTCGGTCAGGTAAAATCTCTCATATTCGACCGTGTAAATAAGTGTGTAAGAAAGATCTTAATCTTTCAAGTTGAATTATCATAAAAAGAAATTTCAGGAGTCATAATTTAAATTAAATTTAGATTTAAAAAATTAAAAAATCATTTTTGCAAAAATAACTCAAAAAAAAATTTAATAATATAAGAAACTTTTAATAATATATTAAAATAGTTTTAAATTATTATAATAATTAAGACTCTTTAAATAAGTTGTTTAATAAACATGAAAAATATTATTTTAAATTTGGATCTATTTTACACTTACCATTTTACATTTCTTTTATCTATGGTAATTAGCATCAAAAGTTATTACTTCGTTGATATATAATTCTTATGATAAGTTATTTGATTTTTAATAAGTTACAAACAAGTTAACAATATGGATTCATTATGGTGAAGATTGCGTTAATCGATTAAAGATTTATATTTCATTACTAAAACATTTAAAGCTGTTATACATATCTATAATATATATATATATATATATATATATATATATATATATATATATATATATATATATATATATATATATATATATATATATATATATATATATATATATATATTAATAAAGTTCATATACTTTAACATGATTATCATATAAATATAATATTGAATATTCTATTGCATACAGATACAAATTGATAAATCTATCAAATGCATATACTTATTGATAAATCTATAATGTACGTTGGTAAATGCATATACATAAATATATTTAAAAATCTATCATATAGATACATTTATTGTATCATATGATAGATTTTTAAATATGTTTATGATACATATTTAAATATGCATATGATACAAATAAATGTATAATATATATATATTATACATTTATTTGTATCATATGCGTATATATATATATATATATATATATATATATATATATATATATATATATATATATTATATATATATATATATATATATATATATATATATATATATATATATATATATATATATATATATATAAAAGTATATATTTATATTTATATACATGCATACATGTATGTATATACACATGTATATATGTGTGTATGTATATATATATATATATATATATATATATATATATATATATATATATATATATATATATATATATATATATATATATACACATACGTACATACATACATACATACATACATACATACATACATACATACATACATACATACATACATAAATACATGCATACATACATGTATGCATGCATGCATATTGATAAATGTATCATGTAAATATATGCATATTTAAATCTAAATTTAATTTTATAATTTCATATAATGACTACAAAATTAAAGATTTTATTTTGCTAGAAACATAAATAGTTTTTTAGATATTAAGAATAAGATTTTTAGATAAAGCTAATTTTGAGTAGGAACATTATATTATCAATCAATCACATATTCTGAAAACACATTTTAGGGATAAATATCCATGAAAATTTATTATACAAATAGTAATCTTAAGTAAAAACTTTAAAAATGATTAAAATAATTAACAAATAGCAATAACATTAACAATAACAGTATTTTGCGAAGACTTTTTGAATAAGGTATTTAAAGACAATAGTAAAAGTTAAATTTAATAAATAAAAACAAAAACAAAACTAATAAAAAAAATTCATAACATAAAGTAATATAAAACAAAAACTAAATATTTGATTTCAATAAATCTAGTTAAACTAAAAACATAATACTTGAATATAAAAATTAAACTTTTTCAACAGTTTGTTTTTTTATTTGAACTTTTTTTAATTTTATGTAACTAATAGTTTTTTTCTTTATTTGAGTTGATAAATCATAATTTGCTTAATTTTTGTATATAATGCAATAATGCATAATTTTTATCTATAATTAATTATTAGAATAATTTAATAGTTATAATTATAGTAATGCAATAATAATAGAAAGAATGCAGAATGAATAAATTTGAGTATCTGGATATTATAAGATTTTTACAAAGAGATATATATATATCGGGCACTGTGCAGTAATAGTATGAAACTTGTTTTGTCTTTAAGACAATCTACTAGGATTTTAATTGTTAAAAAGAATAACTTATGGTAAGGAGAATAAAAAGCCATGTTACATAAAATGAAAAGGGATGACTTCATAAGAATATTCAAAATTTTGAATTCAGTTGGTTGTATTATTTGCTATTGTTATTGGATGTTGTCATAATTAGACGGTGTTTAACACAAGGAAAACAACCTCACATTTGCCTTAAAATTCAGTAGATGTTTAAATGGAATCAAAGCATACTATTACACACTTTGTAAAAAAGATCATTATCAAATGCCTATCATATATCTTTATAAAAAAAATTGTTCTCATAAAAAAAAATTTTAAAAAAAAAAAAAACTTTTTTGTAGTTTTTCTCAAAACTAACTTTTTCTAAAGTTGGTTCCCTTTTTTAAAACTATTCAATTCTATTTAGCCTTTAGTAGCTTTAACATTAAACTATTGGGTAAAAAAACAGTTCATTTTTTAAAAATAATATTGTTATTTATTTTAATATTATTGTCATTATTAAAATTATTTACTCAATGAGAAGCTAGATATTGAATCAAAAAATCAGTTAAATTTACTTTTGATATTGCCAATGTTTTTCAAATTTCAAACTATAATTTATCAGGATGGAAAAAGATATTATCAAGTTAAATGGAGAGACTCATGGGAACCTGAGGAGAGGTTGATGGCAGCATGTGAGGGTGCATTGCAAACATTTTGGAAAGAATATTATTCTAATGTTGAAAAAGAAATAAGAAAACAAGTGGTAAGATCATTTTTTCAATGATTTTCTCAAAGAGGTTGCCCAGTTTGTTATTAAAATTCAACAAATATAAAATTAGAAAACTATCCCTATTAGTTCTGTCATTAAAGCTGTACTCTAGAAAATTTTTCACCATTTAAAGATTTATTTGTGCAAAAACCTATATTCAAATATAAATATGACTTTTTAAAATAATTATTAATGCTAATTTACTCTTAGGTCTTAGGTCTTAGTCACAAGCAAAAAAGAGCCTGCGACTGTATAAAAATAAGTTTATTATATGTGTTACATATAATACATAGCTACATTATTTAAAAAATATTTATTACAGTATTTTATTTTTATGTTTAATTAATTTAATAATTAATAGCAGGCCTTGCGATAAAGCGTCGGGCGATGTGAATTTTACGTCGTCCAAGAGCAATTTTGCGTGTAGCTAGGGCTATTTGCGTTGAGCGAAAAATTTTTTGTTTGAGTCTTTTGATATTTAAAGATATTTTTGAGCGGAATTTTAATGAAGTACTTTACGATTATTTAAACATTTAATAAAGTATTTTAAAAACCGCACGCAGTTGATATAAAAGTTTGAATTACAAAAAAATTAAATATGCTTTTTATTTACAAGTAGAAAAAATTCAGATTAAAAAAAAATTTGAATCTTTTTAAGCTAACATTTTAATAAAATTATTCAGCAATAGCAAAGTTATCAATAAAATTGAACAAAAATACTTGCTTTTAGTTTTAGATTTTTAACTTAAATAATTATTTTATGGGGGTTTGTTAGGTTTTAAAATTATTCCATAGATTTAAAAATATTTATTAACTGTTAGACGTATTTAAAGTATTTAAGAGTAATTTCGAGGAAACATTTTAAAAATTGGTAAGCGCAAATAAAAAAATAAAAGGAATAATATTAAAACGTATTCTACTTGATTCAATAAAAAAGTACAGTTATTAAAATTTTTGTAAAAAGTAATTAAAAAAAAATTACTTAAATAATACCAATTGCTTTTTTGTTTTAATGTTTACAAAAGTTGTAAACATTAAAAATCTATTCAAAATGTTTGTTAAAGTTTTTTAGTAATACGAGTGATTGTGCTCATCAACCGCTTTATGAAAATAAATAAAAATAAATAAATAAAAAAATATTATATGAAATCACTGGTAAAAAATTAGCTATAGCACAATTTTTAATCGTACAATATTAAAATTTCCAGTTTATTACTTGCTGACCTTTTAAAAAGAAAAAATAATTATTTGAAAAACTTTAAATTTCATATTTGAGAAAAAAAAAAAATCAAATATTAGCATTTTTTATAATCTTTTTTAAATGTTTAGTTATAATGTTTTTTATTCGTTTAGTATAGACAAAATGTGTCAAACGTCGAGAAAATAAACAAATGTTTTTACATTTTAAAAAAAGAAACATTCCAAAACATTTTTAAATAATAACATTTCTACATTAATGATTTAAAATAGATTTGCGGTAATTAAGTAAATTGGTGCAGTTAATGTCAATAAATATGAAAAGCAAATAAAAAGAATTTAATGAGATCAAAAATCACGTCGTGCTTATGCATTGCGCAGTTTTTATTCATCACAAGGCCTGTAATAGTATATATAATTTTATCATTAAACTTTTAAAAAGCAAGATTATCAAAGAGAAAATAATTCTGATGGATAATGCTACTGTATTATAGTAGATTTTTTTTTGTCAGAAAAACAGTTGAACAATTAAAAAATGAAATCATATAACATTTATGTTAAAAAACAACTCATTGTAAAGCAAGTTTTGAATAGGTCTTCATTTTTAATATTTACATTAAGATAACCTTCCTGCACACAAAATTTATGCCTTTTAGAAGTTAAAAGGGATTGTAATTTTTTTGATCAACATCTAGCTATTCTTTTATATGGTATCTACCAATAACATTTATACAATTTTCAGCATATTTTTTGTTCAAATTTTCTGACAGTTCAAAATATGAATGTTTTTTAATTTTTAAGTTATCAATGAGTTCTAACCAATTATCAATTTTTATAATCTGACCAGTTAAGGGTTCAGCTATTCTCATATTACTTTTTCACAAAATCATCCACTTCACTTTTTCATTTAGCTTTAAGTTCCAAGTTGACTGTATAAGACATACTGGCATCAGCAAGAGTAAATAGTTTTATACCATATATGTTTGGTTTTGAGAGTATATATCGATGAAACTGACATATGCATCTAAATCTTGGAAGCATTTCTTAAAGCATTTCATAAAGAATTTTTTTTTTCATAGAGCATTTTATATATTATTTTATAAAGCATTTCTTAAAGAATTTTTTGACAATTATCCTTAAGTTTTTTAAGAATTATATATACTTTTAAAAAGCAATTGTATATATTTTTTGCTGATCTCAAATACTTTAAGGCCCACCCTAATTCCGAGGTTAGTAGAGACTATATGTGATGATCAACTCAAGTATATTATCAGTAAATATTTGATCTTAATAATTGAATGGTTTTTTAAATTTTTTGCATTTTAAATAGCCTAATAATTTTTGACATTTTAGGTCATTAAAAAAATTTCTATTTTCATAAAATATCCACAAAGTTTGTATATATATATTGTGTTTCTTAAAAGTTTATTGATAAAGTTTGCTGAGAAAGTAAAATTAAAATCTTGTATTTTTATTTTAATACATGTAAATAACATGCGGTTTATAAAAATTTTTTATAATTATGACTTCAAAACTAGGTAGCAGGAATGCAAAGTCCCAAAAGGGACTCTGGATTTGAAAGTCACAAAAAGATTACTTCTTCCTAGTTTTTACCATAAAATGTCAGTATAAGGTTTTTTTGGATTTTAAAGATCGGAAAAAGTTTTTTATTTTCTAATTATTTGATAGACTGCCTGCCCCAACCAAACCCTCAGTCGATGTAGCAGTACTCTGTTGCAAGTCAGGTTATTTGTCAGTCGATGTAGCAGCACTCTGTTGCAAGTCAGGCTATAAAATAGTCAATAAAGCAACACTCTGTGCATGTTTTGAAGTTATAAAAATAAAAATATTTAAAATGTTTTTTAAAACATTCTAGTCTTTTAATTTGTGTTTTTGTGGTTTAATTACTTCCTGCAATTAAATAAATGCGTTTTGACATAATCTAACCTTAATTTTTTTTTAACACCACAAACAAGTGAAGAGCCATTTTTTACCAAACATGTTTTCTTTGCTGTAAACTATATATATATATATATATATATAAATATATATATATATATATATCAGGCCTTGCGATAAAGCGTCGGGCGATGTGAATTTTACGTCGTCATAGAGCGATTTTGCGTGTAGCTAGGGCTATTTGCGTCGAGCAAAAAATTTTTTGTTTGAGTATATTTAAAGATATTTTTGAGCGGAATTTTAATGAAGTAATTTACAATTATTTTAACATTTAATAAAGTATTTTAAAAACCGCACGCAGTTAAAATAAAAGTTTGAATTTAAAAAAATTAAATATGCTCATTATTTACAAGTAGAAAAAATTCAAAAATTAAAAAAAAAGTTTAAATCTTTTAAGCTAATATTTTAATAAAATTATTTAGCAATAGCAAAGTTGTCGATAAAATTGAACAAAAATACTTTCTTTTAGTTTTAGATTTTAAACTTAAGTAATTATTTTACGGAGGTTTGTTAGGTTTTAAATTATTCCATAGATTTAAAAATATTTATTAACTGTTAGACGTATTTAAAGTATTTAAGAGTAATTTCGAGGAAACATTTTAAAAATTGGTGAGGGCAAATAAATAAAAAAAGGATTAATATTAAAACGTATTCTACTTGATTCAATAAAAAAGTACAGTTATTAAAATTTTTGTAAAAAGTAACTCAAAAAAATTACTTAAATAATAATGATCGCTTTTATGTTAAAAGTTACCTAAACTCAACGAAGCATGCTCAAGAACAGCTGCTGAAAAATAGAACGTCAATAGTTTTTCGAATAATTTTTAAGAATAATTTTTTCGCTGAAATATTTCTTTTATACCTATAAGATTTTTATTCTAACATTTTATTTTATTTTACTAGAAATAAAATTCTTTGTTAACATTAAAAATCTATTCAAAACATTCGTTTAAGTTTTTTATTAATACGAGTGCAAGGGTTGAATTAACGCATAGCGAATTGCGGTATCTGTTAAGTTATCTGGTCTTCAAAGTTTCAGTTTATGGAAAACCACGAAATTTACGGAATAGGCGAATAAACTTTAATTTGTTAGTGAAAATGTTATGAAAAACAAAACAATAAATTTATGACTACAAAAGTAATAACACTACAGTGTTGTTACTTTTATAACACTCTTTTAAGTTACATTTATAGTTTACTGTTTGATCAAACAACACATAACCAAGCTATTATAAATAAAAATGATTTAGTTAAGTAATTCCAAACTTTAATTAAAGTAGTAATCCATCTAGAAAAAATACAACGGATATTTAAACAATGTTAAAAACCTAAGCAACTTTTACGAATACATAATTTTATAAACAGTTTAGCATTTCTAAACATCTTACTAACGGTCCGGAAAAAACGCGCGTTCACTTTAAAATCAACCAATGAAAACACTGGTAATTTACTTCTTAGGATAAATCTATATTAAAAGGGGAGGGGTGAGGAGGCTATAAACTTAAATTTTGTTTTATTATTTAATCAATTAAATCATAATAAAAGTAAAGACAAAAAAATTATATTTCTATTTATACTTCTTTATAACTAAAATTTATTAAATTGAACACCTCTGTTTTTAGTTTTAAGTAAATGTCAGTACTACTCTCAGTGGCGAAACTGCGGGGGGGGGGGGGGGGGCAACTTTAAAATCAACTAATGAAAACACTGGTAATGTACTTACCAGGAGGGAGGTTATAAGGGGAGGGGGCTATAATTTTTTTTTACTAATTAGTTAATTAAATAGTAATAAAAGTAAAGATAAAAATATATATTTTAAAGTATACTTTTTTATAACT